TTGAAGTCCACACCAGCCCAGAAACAGGTCTGCAGATCCAGTTCAATTCGACCCATTTCCGCCCAAATCTGTCATGGCTACCATATCTACAGCCATTTCGCATTTCAAGAAGCAATGACAAAAATTTGCATATGCAGCCTCATCAACGACCAATCAAAAAGTGACACATGGCATGTTCTCTTTGGTATAAATGAGCTCACTAGGACTCATTGTGGGGTTGTATTTTTAAGGGAGGAAACGTTGGAGAGATAGGGGGAGCTATAGAGTACCACCTTTAATCTAGCCATTTTTTAATAGGAAATTTCAAGTTCAAAAGCTTGTAATAATAGTTGAAAAATAAGGATCTAGAGATCCAAGCTTCTCATAACCTAACGAGAGTGATCAATCTTCTACTACGAAGTGGCCAATACATAAGCGAAGGGAGTGTGCTCGTCGAATATGAGGTTGGTGATTTATATTTCCTTTGTATCTCTATTTTGGTTATTAACATCTATAGATCATTTCTATTGTTAATCCATGTTGCCAAGCACCTTTTAATTTGTACAATGAAATACTTACCAATTATCAGCTTGCTTCCATACTCTATCCCCATTTATACGATTTCTCTATCCTTTATTATACTATTTCTGTATGGATGCTTATGATTTTTGCTAGTTTACCTTCACTATGAGCTATATATCTTGTCCAACTTAATTTTTACCATATTTCAATTCCTCTACTTTTATATAACATAGATTGGAACACTACTATTGTCATATGTAAATCATAGGAGCAACCAAAAATCCAATATAGATCCCACATAGATCCAGTTTCGGATTTCAGATTAGTAATAGTATAATTAAAACCATCTCTCTCCCAAACTGACACGCCAAAACACAACACCAATCTGCGACCAAGTGTAATCGCAGACCGGGAATGCAGTAACAGGCAAGTTATATTATCAACCCGGGGTCTAGGTGTACTGCTTACTCAGTGATTCTCTATTATCTAGCCAACTAAAGTAAGTGATTGTTGTTTAAAAGCAAAAGTAGAAAGAAAGCAGGAAATTATTCGGTTTTCTCAAGCAGGTAAGAGTCACTCGAGAATGAGTCCCCCTAGCTCCTTAGTTAGGTTTCAATTGTATTTCCCTGGGTTGATTTACTGTTGATTAGACTGCGGAAGATCCGACAGTAGCTTGGAATCTCTTAAGCTGACCAAGCCCTCTCGGTCTAACTACCCGGCAGACGACTAGTCTTCACCGGGATAGAAAGCTGAAGCAGTAAGAACAGAACTCCACTACTGGAATTGGATTCCAGTACAAAGCAGTAAACTGGCTAACTCTCGTATAGCCAATCTCCTACTACCGAATGATGAGACTCTAGCAACCTAATCAGATTCTATCTATCTCAGATTGCAGCAGGAATCAGGAAAAGTTTATCAGACTTCAATTGACTCAATAAACATGCATCATTCGATTAAAATCAAACAGTAATATCATCCCAAGTCATTACAATCAATCCCTAACACATAGAACTAGGGTTCTTCATCCCCAAGTGAGAGAGGGGTTCTACTCCATAGAGAGAGAGAAGAAAATAGTAATCGAAGTAGTCATACCCATAAAGATGAGGAAAATATGCTCCGGGATGATGATTTCCACTCCTAGGACGATCTCCAAGCTCGATTCGATGAAACTCAGCTCCAAGATAGCTTCTAGGATGTGTTCTTTGTACTTTCTCTCTCTAGGGCTCTGTTTTTGCTCAAAAAGTCCGATTCTCCCCCTTTTGGCTCGAAATTGGCTGAAAAACCAAGATTTCCAGACTCGCACGGGCAGGCCACACGGCCGTGTGGCTCACCCAGTTGCCCGGCGAGTCAAAACGCTGCGTTCCAATTAGTTCGATCTTAGGCTTCCCACACGGCCAGGGTCGCACGGCCGTGCGGGATCTCCATCCTGCCCGTGCATGCTCTCGACAAAAACCACACGGCCACAAATGTGAGTTGCACGGCCGTGTGATGTCCAGGAATGCCCGTGCAGCTTCCTTAGCACCTCGCCACGCGTCCGATTCTCGTCCAATCGACCCCAAACTCGCTCCCAAGCCTCCATTCACGTACTAGGACCTGAAATATGACAAACAAGCACAACCTAGCGTGAAATCGGCCTAAAACACGAGAATCAACACCTCAAACGGTGTAAGAACAGGGGTAAAAACATGTGTAATTAACGGTCTATCACAAACCCAAATATGAAAATCACAACTGAACACTAGATCCTAAGCAAACACGCATCACACACATAACCAAACACATATACGACGCATATGAAGAGTTTTGCTAGCCTAGAGTCCGAAATCAGCTTCGAATTCCATATTCAAAATACTAGATCTAGATACAACAAACATGATATCATTTTCCTAAACCCCTATCATTTCCAAATTAATAAATCATAAAAATCCTTATCAAACCAATTATATTGATGAGGGAAAATCCCTATCAATACCTCACGGGAGCTGAGAACCACCCCTACTATTTCAATACCTCACAGGAGCTTAGGAGCACCACTACTTTTTCAATACCTCGTGGGAGCTGAGTAGCGCCCCTACCATACAATACCTCACACAGGAGCTGGCGAGCCCCTCTATCATTCAACAACGCACGGGAGTGGAGAAGCGCCTCTATCATTAAATACCTAACCGAAATTGGCAAGCGTTAAAAAAATAGAGCAGATGATGATTGACGAGCATCAGAAAATCCTTCGACGCTGTCAAGCGTCAAAGAAGTACAGTAGAGTGAGTATCAAAAAATTCCCGCGTTGGGGAACGCTATATAAAAACGTAAAATTCCCACACACAAAATTACGAACAATTCTAACATCACCCAAAAACCACATTCTTTTTAAATATCTAATACAACTATCGTGACACTTCTTAAAAATGTGGTGTCTTTATAAGAACTTTGTATAACTCTTTATACAAAGAGATATACAAAGGGGAGAAACTGTAGACACCACAATTAGTCCGGTCAACGACTGTACTTAAACTAAAAAAAAGAGAAATTATAAGGATGAATTAAATAGAATGCTTTGAAGGATTTGGTTAAGATTAGCAGTGGCTAGTCAATAAGTATCAATGACTCCGAACTTCAATCTTGTTTAGTTCTAATACCAAATTGATCAGGATTACCGGTGACGCTAATGATTACCATGATCATTCCTATACAATTCAAGATAAATTATTAGAGATTTGCAGTGGCAAATCTAAAGCATCAATGACCAAAGCTACCCATGTCTAGTTTTAAGATTGGCTCAATTGGATGAAAGCAATGGTAACACTTTAATTTTATGGTTGTTGGTCTATTATGTAAAAGACAACTCAAGGTTTGCGTTGGATAGGACATAAGAGATGAGCCCAATTAAATAAAAGAAATAGATTTTTTGTTTTGTCATTATACATAATCATAAAGGATTACATATTGATAAAAAACAAATTACCTTGATTAATATCCCATGAGCTCTTAAAATATAATTGCTAACACATGCAAAAATAAAACGAAATACAACTCCAATCAAATGAAAACCCAAACTCGACTTGAAGCCCATCTCCTTGGCGCACAAACCAGCCACAGACCTGCAAAAGAACCAAATTGAAAACCAGTTCAAGCCTAGAGCTCGGCCCAAATTGAAATCCACACCAGCCTAGAAACAGGTCTACAGACTAGTTCAATTTGAGCCCACAAACTGAAGTTAGCGGGGTAGGCCCATTTCGGCCCAAATCTGTCTTGGCTACCTTATCTACAGCCATTTCGCGTTTCAAGAAGCAATGGCATCAATTTGCATATACAGCCTCAACAGCGACCAATCAAAAAGTGACATGTGGCATGTTCTCTTTGGTATAAATGATCTCATTGGGACTCATTGTGGGGGGTTTCTTTTCAAGGGAGGAGACACTAGAGAGATCGGGGGAGTTATAGAGAAACACCTTGACACTGGCCCTTTTTTCTTTTGTTTTGAGAAAATTTCCAGTTCAGAAGCTTGTAATAATAGTTAAAAAACAAGGATCTAGAGATCCAAGCTTCTCATAACCCAACGAGAGTGATCAATCTTCTAATACGAAGTGGCCAATACATAAGCGAAGGGAGTGTGCTCGTCGAATATGAGGTTGGTGATTTGTATTTCTTTTGTCTCTCTATTTTGGTTAATAACATCTATAGATCATTTCTATTGTTAATCCATGTTGCCAAGAACCTTTTAATTTGTACAATGAAATACTTACCAATTATCAGCTTGCTTTCATACTTTATCCCCATTTATACGATTTATGTATGAATGCTTATGATTTTTGCTAGCTTACCTTCACTCTGAGATATAGATCTTGTCCAGCTTAATTTTTATCATATTTAAATTCCTCTAATTTTATATAACATAGATTGGAACACTACTATTGTTATATGCGAATCATAGGAGCAACCAAAAATCCAATATAGATCCCACATAGATCCATTTTCGGATTTCAGATTAGTAATAGTATAATTAAAACCATCTCTCTCCCAAACCCAAATATGAAGATCACAACTAAACACTAGATCCTAACCAAAAACGCATCACACACATAACCAAAGACATATACGACGCATATGAAGAGTTTTGCTAGCCTAGAGTCCAAAATCAGCTTCGAATCCCATATTCAAAATACTAGATCTAGATTTAGATCCAATAAACATGATATCATTTTCTTAAACCCTTATCATTTCCAAATTAATAAATAACAAAAATCCCTATCAAACCAATTATAATCAGATTAGGAAAATTTAGTTCCTTTCAGTTTAGTGATAGCAAGTAGTGGCGGCAATGCTAAGACAATTACATGGTAGTAAACAAGTAATGGGAAAAAACTAGTAACTTGTCAGGAGAGTTCAACCGAGTGACCTAGCTTGATATATAATTCCAGATTTCGCTAGGTTTTGCTCCAAAATTTTAGGAGTGGCGATCCTCCCCTTGTCGACGAAAGCTAGGGTTTCGCTCGTCTCTCATGCCGGCGCCAGGCATGCCGCTGGATGGGGGGACTTCGGACAGTGCCATGCTACCGGAATCAATGACCGGTCAGCGTCGACCACCATCTCAATCCTCTTCCCCTAACCCAAAAGGGGACCGAGAATTCCAGCAAATGAAAAAGCGAGCAAAAGCTACGGTGCTAATACCAGACAATAACCCCGACCATGATGAGATGCTCGGGGATGGGGCGACGGGCAGCCACAACATCCCTGATACTTCCTCCCACCGCCGGACTACATGGGGATCCGTCGCGGGGGCGGCGAAAAGGTTATTCAGTGACGCGGTGATAATGGATTTGTGGTACACCGCGGACTCGGACTCATAAGACATCGCGGACGCTATGCGTCGAGAAGGGTCAGATGAAGGAATCACTGAGGAGGAAGACCCTAAGTGCCTGACGAGGGTAGAAGAAAGGATGTTCTGCAGACAATGGAGGTCCGCGCTTGTTGTCAAGGCTCTCGGACGGTCTGTTTCCGATACGCTCATGGTTAGAAGGCTCCAGAGCATCTGGGCAAAGGCAGGGACTATTCAAGTTACGTCGGCCAAAAATGGCTACTTCCTTGTTCGCTTCACTAGTGGAATGGACTATGAGCGCGCGATTACGGGTGGACCTTGGCTAGTGGATGATAAATATCTCACGGTGCACCAGTGTGTTACGTGAAGCTCGTCAATGAGGAAAGAATCAACCAATCAATCAAGGCCAAAATAGAAGGTTTCAAATAAGGAAAGCTGGAGCAGATTCTCTGGAGATCAAATCAATTGTCTACAATGGCTACCTTGAAGAAAAGAGACAATATAAGGCCAAAGACGAGAGACTGCAAAGATAAGTTTTTCAGGAAAAATCAAAAGTTGAGTGTTGTGAAAACAAGTTAGGTTCTTTTGATAGAAAAATTGGTCAGGCTAATCGGAGAGAATAGCAAGAGGGTAATCAGAGTGATTATTCAATCGTAGACGAGTTAGCGTGATAAGCAGGGAGCTGATCGGAGTTAACTCTATTTGTGTACTGAAGAACAAAGAAAAAGAAGTACTAGTAGTTACGTAGGGATTCTCAAGAGGAGAAGTCCCTACCGTGGATTAGTCGATATTGGGATCCTTCTTCTCTCAATATCGGATACCACGTAAAAACCATTGTCCAATGTGCATTCTCTGTTTTGTGTAAGGTCACGTACTCTGTTTCTATTTGTGTTGATCAGGTACAGGGGAGCCTTGAAGCAGAGATTGAGACCTGGGTGGATTGAGGAAGAAGAAGAACATTGCAGGCCGAGTTGGTGTGCTCTGGGCTGAGTACAAATTCAATCGACAGTAAGAAGTTGGGCTCTAGCCCACAGTCACTTTTAATAATAATATTTCGAGTTTAGATTTCTTTTATTTTCAATTGATTATTATTTTCAATTACACTAAGCCAAGGAAAAGAAATCGAAAGAACTGGATCTTCACTTGCTCTGTCAATTAGTCGATTAGAGTTTTGTAGGATCTACATCTGATTATTGTCAGAAGGAGAAGAGGTCTCGCGCTCGACCTACCTACATGTGGTATCAGAGCCCAGCTCCGAGGTTAAAGGCACAACCGTCTTGGGAGACGATGAGCTCGGGATCGGCGGTCGGAGTTTTCATGGCAGATGGATTCTCACAAACCCGACCTCCAAGGTTTGAAGGTGTCCACTATGGTTACTGGAGAAATCGGATGGAGCTTTTCATTGGGTCAACAAATCCAGATTTATGGAACATCGTTTTAGATGGCCCTCTAGAAGTGAAGGAGGCTCGCGGGAAATGGACTGAAGCTGACAAATGAAACTTTCAGATCAACTCAAAGGCAACCAATCTAATGTATTGCGCGCTGGGGCCAGAAGAGTATCACAGAGTGACTGGCTGCAAATCGGCGAACAAAATCTGGGATAAATTGAAGATTGCACATGAGGGCACTTCTCATGTTAAAATTTCGAGGATAAACAGCCTCAAGCAAGAGTTCGAGTCGTTCATTATGAAGCCGGAGGAAACAATCAAGGAGATGAATGATCGGTTTACCACAATAGTGAACAGTTTGAGAAATTTGGAAGTGGAATATGCCAGCGCTGACCTAGTTTGCAAGGTCCTTTGGGCACTCCCCAAGAAATGGACACCCAAGGTTACAGCGATCGAGGAATCAAAAGACCTTACCAAACTTAGTCTGGATGAACTGATTGGTTCCCTCATCACACATGAAGAAAAGCTAAAGAGAGAGGACCTAGAAGAGCCAAGAAAAGAAAAAAAAAAGGGATTGCCTTCAAATCCACAACTCAAGAAGAAGAGCTGGACTGCCTGGATGAAATGGAGGATGATGAGCTTGCAATGCTAAGCAAGCATGTGGCAAAGCTCCTCAAGTTAAGAAGGGAAAAGAAACTAGGAGGAATCTCCAATAGATCAAGGGATGGTGAGGTTGACAGAGAAAGCAGAAGAGGGGGAAGGCAAGGACCTAGAATTCGAAGGGAAGGAACAAGCAATGAAAGGCCACAGTCTCAAGCTGGATGTTTCAGATGCGGGAAGGCAGGGCTTATAAAGGCTGAGTGCCCACTAGCCAAGAAAGAAAAAGCATATGTAGCCACCTGGAGCTGCAGTGAAGAAGATGAAGATGAAGATGAAACAAATCACAAAGTCAGTGCATTCATGGCAATCGACGAATATGAAGGAGAGAAGTCTCAGGTAACTGCTTATTACTTTGACTCTTGCAGTGATGATGATGAGTTACTAGATGAAACTATTAAGAACATCCCAAATGAGTTTGCGATTGTGAAAAATAAATACATCTTAATCAAGGCGAGTTATGACAAACTACAGAATGATTTTGACAAAGCTATGAGTGACAAACTGAGTGCAGAAAACAAGGTTCGAGATTTAATGCAAGAAAATTGTAGGTTAAGGGAACAAATTGACACTACTAAGGCAGAACTATCTCAAATTAAGGTTCAAACTAAGGTAAAATCTGCAACAGTAAGAAGGCCTGATGCTCATAAAAACCATGATTGCTTTTACTGTCACAAAACTGGTCACTACATTGCTAACTGTAGAAAACATATTGCTAAAGAAAACAAAACAAAAGGGTCTGAGCACAGAAATTCAGAACATGTACATAATTTATACACAAATTTAGTTTAGTCCAGAAGGGTATCTATGCTAGTCTGGATACCCAAAACTAAGTAAATGAATGTACTTTTGCAGACCTGTCTCCAAGTGAGCATGGAAGGCAGCGTATGGATTCTTGATAGTGGATGCTCACACCATATGACTGGTAACAAAAATCTATTTTCAAAACTAACTTTTGAAAACAAAGGAAAAGTCTTCTTTGGTGACAATTTCAGCACAAAAATCTTAGGAAAAGGTACAGTAATGTGCTTCTAGTAAAAGACTTAAAACACAACCTTCTGTCAATTGGACAACTTTGTGGAAATGAAAACATAGTTGTTTTTGAACGAGAAAAATGTTTTGTGGAAGATATGGTTAGTCACAAACTCATACTAACAGGTAAACGAAAGGGAAAACTGTTTTCAATTGATCTTGAAGATAAGGATGCTTTTAATGAAACTTGTCTGGTCTCAGTTGACAAGAATGATCAATTTGAATGGCATAGGAGACTTGGTCATGTGAGTATTGGAATTCTGTCAAAATTAGTTAATCTAGGAATTGTTAGGGGAATTCCAAAGCTCCACAGCAAGAAGGAATTCTTCTGCGATGCTTGTTCTAAAGGAAAACACTCCATAACGTCCTTTAAAACCAAACCAGTCATCTCTATGTCCAGACCTTTAGAATTACTTCATCTAGACTTGTTTGGTCCTAGCAATGTCATGAGTCTAGGAGGTAAGTGCTATGCCTTTGTGACAGTGGATGACTACTCAAGGTTCACATAGGTATTGTTTCTTTCCTCAAAAGATGAAGCTTACCAAAAATTTTAAAGTTTTGTCAAACGTGTTGAAAATGAAAAACAATCAAAAGTGTGTAGTATAAGAAGTGACCATGGAGGCGAATTCATCTCTGAAAAATTCGAAGGCTTCTGTAACAAAAAGGGTATTTCTCACAATTTTTCTGCCCCTAGAACACCACAACAGAATGGAGTGGTCGAAAGGAAAAACAGGACCTTGATTGATATTGCTCGTACAATGCTAAATGATTATGGCATATCTAAACAATTTTGGGGAGAAGCTATTAACACTGCCTGTTATGTTACTAACAGAGCTCTAATTAGACCTAAACTTAATAAAACTCTCTATGAACTCTGGAAGGATAGGAAACCTAATCTAAGTTACTTTCATCCTTTTGGGTGTAAGTGTTTCACAATGAACACGATGGATCACTTGGGAAAATTTGACTCGACGTCAGATGAGTCAATTTTTCGTGGATATGCTGTTAAAAGCAGGGCTTTTCGTGTGTTTAATAAAAGGACCTAAAAGTTGAGGAGTCCATCAATGTGATATTTGATGAAACCTTGAATGAGTGTGCAGAAAGTATCAATGATGATGTTGACTTAGGACCAGGAAAAGCACATACAAGCCATGTAATTCCACATACTCAGGAGACAGAAGCAGTAATGTTAGATAATGATGACAGTGTGGAAGAAACATATCACAATCCTCAGGCTCCACCCCATATACTTCGTCGACATCATCCCTCTCTAATCATTGGGAATCCTAGTCGAGGTATGACTACTCGCTCTAAATCTTATGCTGAACATACTGCTTTTGTAGCACAGTTTGAACCCAAGTGTGTTGAGGATGCCATAAAAGATGAATACTGGTCAGCTGCAATGCATGATGAAATGAATAAGTTTGCCAGAACTCACGTTTGGGACTTGGTACCTCGACATAAAGACATAGTAATAATTGGAACTAAACGGATTTTTCGTAATAAAACTGATGAAATTGGAACTATAATTAGAAATAAAGCTAGGTTGGTAGCTCAAGGCTACTGTCAGGAAGAAGGGGTTGACTTTGATGAAACTTTTGCTCCTGTTGCTAGGCTAGAAGCTATTCGATTTTTATGTGATTTTGCAGCTTCTAAAGGATTTAAGCTATATCAAATGGATGTTAAAAGCGCGTTTTTAAATGGAGAAATAAACGAAGAAGTGTATGTTTCTCAACCCCCTGGGTTTGAGGATTCTGAACATCCTAATCATGTGTTTAAACTAAACAAGGCTTTGTATGGGCTTAAGCAGGCTCCTAGAGCCTGGTATGAGAAACTTAGTAATTTCTTAATTGAAAAGGGTTTTCATCGTGGACAGGTTGACAAGACTCTGTTCATTAAAAAGGAAAATGAACACACCTTGCTAGTTCAAGTTTATGTCGATGACATAATCTTTAGCTCAACTAGTCAAAAATTATGTTCTGAATTTGAAAACGATATGAAAATGCTTTTGAAATGACTCTCATGGGGGAATTAACATACTTTCTTGGACTACAAGTAAAACAAACAAATCAGGGAATCTTTATAAGTCAGTCGAAATATTTACAAAATATGTTAAAACGTTTTGATTTCGGCAGCCTGAAGGCAGCCTCCTCTCCCATGGGATCCACAGTTAAACTAACTTCTGATGAATCTGGCAAACCAGTGGATGGTAAAAAAATTCGTGGTATGATTGGTTCTCTTCTGTATCTGACTGCTCGTCGCCCTGACATTATGCACAGTATATGCGTATGTGCTCGGTTTCAGAGTAATCCAAAGGAAAGTCATTTCTCAGCCATTAAACGAATTTTTCGTTATCTAGTTGGAACACCCTCTCTCAGACTCTAGTACTCTAGCTCCTCAAGCTTAGACTTGATTAGCTATACTGACTTTGATTACGCAGGGTGTGTTGTGGACAGAAAAAGCACCTCTGGTGCCTGCCATTTCCTGGGTTCCTCTCTTGTGTCTTGGTTCAGTAAAAAAACAAAGCTCAGTAGCCTTATCCACAGCTGAAGCTGAGTATATAGCTGCTGGCTTTTTCTGTACTCAAGTCCTGTGGATGAAATACCAGCTTAAAGACTATGGTCTTCAACTGGGATCTCTTCCGATCTTGTGTGACAACACAAGCTCCATTAACATGACCAAAAACCCAATTCAACACTCTCGCACTAAACGTATAGAGGTTCGTTACCATTTCATACGAGAACTAGTTCAAGAAGGTAAAATTCACTTAGAATTTGTAGGAACAGACTCTCAATGGACTGACATCTTTACCAAACCCTTGTCCATCGATAAATTTTTACCTATTCGTCGAGAACTTGGAATGTTTTCTCTAGAAGAAATATCGGAAATCCTTTAGGATTCTGTGTCCTCTCAGTTTCATTCTTTCTTCCTTAGAGCTCTTTCCTTTTCTCTCTGTCTCGAAAAATCAGCAATCATTTGCTGGATACATCCTCGTGATTGATTCACTTGCCCTAATCATTCTCACTCAACCTCTATATATCTAAGGTATCTCTGTACTACTCTCCATCCTAAAAAAACTCTCTGTTCTCTCATAAAAATCAACTATCATGGCCTTCAACAACGCTCAGCTTCGTCCTGTCGTTGTGTTCAAAAATCAAGGCTTTCGCAATGCGATCGTATATTCCAGATATCTTCGCTGCTTTCGCGATCACCCAATCTATCCCTCATTCACCATCTCTCCCTCAGCCTTCTCCAAATATGATCTGGATGCACCTTCTCTTGTTGCTGGACTGGGATGGGAATCGCTGACTGAGGATCAACGATTCCTTCATTGTCCTGAAGCGGTCAGACTCTTTTATGTCAACATTCGTCGTGACCATGGGGCTGAACCTCGCTCCTTCACCACCATGGTTTATGACCATGAAATCACTGTCACACCAGATCTGCTTGCATCAGTTCTATCCCTCCCTCATTCTGGGATTCAAGCAAGCTTCGAAAGTGATTTTTCTGTGCATGGGTTTGACTTCTGCATGGCCCTTGATCGCCTAACCCGCGACATCGGCAAGGCCTTCCCATCTAGGCTCTCAGCTGGTCGTCTTCCTCATGATCTAAAGGTGCTGCACTTCTTCATAACTCGATGCTTCCTTCCCCGCGACATCTCAAGTGCTGGCCTTTTTCATTCCTAAGATCTCTGGATTATGGGGAATGCTCGTGCACACCAACCTATCAGCTTTGCTTCTTTAATGTTTGCCCATATGCCCGACTTCAGAGGGGGAGGTTACAGTGGTGACTTGCCTTTTGGACCCCTCATCACTCGATACTTATATCGCCTCGGCATTGATCTTCGGGACAAGGTGGCAGTCTACAGGGTCCATGATGATCTTCGCCCCAATCATGTCCTGGTGCGTCTTGATGCTGATGTAGGGCATTGTAAGCTAGTCTATGGCTCAGGGGGAGACACTACCTGCTGCTTAGTCTTCTCTCCTGCTGATCCTATCTCTGACAGTTTGATTCCAGCTATGACTCAAGCTGCTGTTTCAGCCATAAATGGGGAAGTCAAGCGCCGAAGGGAAACAGGGATTGGAAAGACAACTGGTCTTCTTGTATGCAAAGAACGTCTCGAGCTGCTGGAAGCTGATGAAGCAAGGCCTGCTCCAGATGACTTTGATCCGATCTCACCTAACTCTAGTTTTGAATCTGATGATGAGATCTCATACTATGACTCACCTCCTGGTTACCCTTTCTAGGTCCCTAATGATGTTGCTCATGGGGAGTGTCTAGTGTTCTGGCGAAGGAAGTCTTTTGGGATGAGTCAGTGTCTGTGTCGTGTCAGTTGAGTAGTTTTTGTCCGGTTTACCTTCTAAGTGCTTGGTTGTTGATTTGAAGCTGTCGGATGTAGTTCGGTTGAACGTTTTCAATTAATAAGAATAAAATAACTTCCCTTGCTATTAATAATTGTTCACTGCATAGAACAGACTGCACCAATCATTTGTCGAGTGTGTGTAGGAAAGACGTGTGTAGCAGGAAGGAGCCATTGACAAGCTTAGGGGGAGCATGTTACGTGAAAGCTCGTCAATGGGGAAAGAATCAACAAATCAATCAAGGCCAAAATAGAAGGTTTCAAAGAAGGAAAGCTAGAGCAGATTCTCTGGAGATCAAATCAATTGTCTAAAATGGCTACCTTGAAGAAAAGAGACAATATAAGGCCAAAGACGAGAGACTGCAAAGATAAGTTTTTCATGAAAAATCAAAAGCTGAGTGTTGTGAAAACAAGTTAGGTTCTTTTGATAGAAAAACTGGTCAGGCTAATCAGAGAGAATAGCAAGAGGGCAATCAGGGTGATTATTCAATCGTAGACGAGTTAGCGTGTTAAGCAGGGAGCTGATCGGAGTTAACTCTATTTAAAACGAGAAACAAAAAAAGAATGTTGTTGACGGGGTTTGAACCCATGTCCTCAGGAGTGAATGCGCACTGTGTTGGCAACTTAGCCAATTGGGCTACTAGCCCATCATGCATTAATTTAACCATCCCGCTTAATTTTATTTGTTTAAAGTCCTTAATACGAAATGTGAAATGCGGATTAAGTTAGTTTTTCTTTTTGTCTGATACATCGAATTTCTTCTTAATGATTAAAATTCTTGCATTCATCTTAGTAACATCATAATAATCTAATTGAAATTTTATTAAAAATTTTATGATGCAAAAATAACGTCAGTGGAACGTGATAAAAGTTAGGATTAAACTATCAAAGTTAACAAAACCCTTAATACGAGAGCCACTATAGGTGTAACGTGACAAAAGTCATACAATTAAATAATCAAAATTCAAACGAACTAGGTGGACTTTGATCTCATCTAATGGGTACGTAGGCAACCGATAAGGTTTTTGTCCAACTAACTAATCAATTTTATCTTTTAATTATTACGTCAGTGGGCATATTATTAAAATTACAACTAATACGATTTAATTTCTTTAGTTGGTCTAGTAAGGCCCTAAAAATATCTAAAATATCTAATCATGAACTAAGCGTCCAATGATGTATAAGTTAAATCATAAGCAATACATTAATAATCCAGTAGGATCTAAAAATACTCAATATTTACCAAAATACACCCAACTCGTATAAAAACTTATCGACTTAAGTAGTACCGATTTAGGGCGTTGTGAGGTGTGATTTCACTTCCCCACACGTAACCCTACTCCCGAAACCGAATCTCTTAATCGCAGACCATACCTTGGTTCTGACCATAAGGTTAGAGCCGATTCGAAGAGTGTTCGATCCACTCCAAGTAAGATCGATGGCGACTCCCAAAAAGCCAACGTGACGACCTCGACCCCCGGAGGGACGGTTGCGACAAGAGTATCGCTCGAAAAGGCTTATTGTCCATCCCATTAACCATGGTAGAACGTGGAGTATTCAGATTCCCGCCACCCACCTCTCTTCCCTTAATAGCTTAACTTAACTGTCAAGATACACGCGATATGGTATATCTCACTATCCCAATAAGCATATGTATATGTTGTAGTCCACATCTGTATACTTCATCCACAAATTACAGCCTATAAGCCTTTACCATACCATATGTCATTGAATAACACAATCATACTATCGTTTCATAAACATGTCCAAACTATCATCACACATCCATTCATCTCATTCCATTCCATAGTCTCAGACACCATCACATATTCATCGCGGTATATAATATTTTATTTAGTCAAATAAACATCCATTTATCACCACATTTCATATCACATTCATCATCTCAAACTCTAGGAATTCATACATTCATAACATAAGGACCATCACCCAGCCTCTTGATAACTCACTGTATAAACACGTATGCATCAAGTATCACATCATACTGGCATCACCATGTAAGGGATCCCAACATAGGGACACATCTCACCATCTCATGGTAAATCATTGTATAAAACACCATAAAAAACCATCACACAACCATTATCATCCACATGCACATTTCGTATATCACATCATAGGAAGTAATCACTTAACCACATCATAAGTAATCTTTATACAATAATTCAATCACATGCACAATTCAGTTGATTCAGTGCTTTTTACTTCTTCATTTGCCAACTAATACTCTCCCCGGGTAGAACAGTAGATGTCCTGTATACCACTGTGGAATCGTACCCAGATCGATTGTGTCTTGTAAATCCATTCCGAGATCATGCCTTGACCGGTGTCCTATATACTAGCGCGGGACATACCTAGACTGATGTCCTGAAAAACCACCGCGGGATCATACCCTGACCAGTGTCTTGCATACCACCGTAGGATTATACCCTGGCAAATGTTGTGTAAATCCATCTGTTGTACTGATTGCATAGCAGGATGCCTTAAAATTTATACTAAGTTATCACACAATTCCAGTTATAGTCAGTCATACATTTAATATTGGATGATAATGTGAAGCGAAGACAAAGTGTCTTTATAACTAACAATTTGTTTTGATATAATTCATAAAATGTTGAAGGTAATATATAACCCTAGCAGAATAGTTTGCCTGTACTTTAATATAATGATGACAAAGGCTATTGTATGCTCGAGATGTAATATACACCTTCGTGCCACTTTGTGACAGCGGGGCCTACTAAATCTGGGGACCACCTGCAATCAATTCGATGCCAATGGGGCTTCACCCGCAGCAGCCTTGTACCTCCGGGAACACCAACGGGCCTTGGTTGGATTCGAACCTGGAATCTGCAACTCCCAAGCCTTCAGTGTCGCGACAGCTTTACCTTTAGGCTATCTTACCTTTGGTTCCGTTAACACCTATTAGTTGTACTTTAATATATTTTGACAAATAAGAATCATTGTTTATTATTTGGATTAAATGAATCGTACGATTTGGATTAGAGAATTAGAGACTGGGGTTCACCCATTAGAGGCTATGTTATAGTATCATATCCAAACTCTGTCAATTCATGGTCTAAATAGCAAAACTCGATAGGAATATGGTAATGTGGCATACGCTAGGTTAAACCATGTACAACTTATGAAGTTGAAAATTGTTGGCCTGTCAAAGATCAAATGGTTGTGAATACTATTTTTTAACCGGTGATTAAGTTACAGCTCTTATTGTTTGACATTATTGTTGATCATGATTAAAACCAGATTGAATGTAGCGTCCACATATAAGATGAAACACGAATAATACAGAAAAATAATAAATTAATAAATATTAAAAGTAGAAATCCGAAAGCATTGAAAATAATGACAGATAATATAAAGAAAAGTACAAACCAATTACACTTACCGGCGATCAAGCGAACACAAAACTAGTATGAACTATTATAGACTACCCAAGACAAGAGTAATTTAAAAATGTGATGGACAAATATGAAATAACTAAAACTAGCAATCAAAAAAGGAAGAAGAAATTCTAAGAATGGGAATCAAACAGTTGTAATTCTCTCCAAACTCTTTCATAAACTTTGTCTCTCCCTCATATCACGCTTTCCCCAATAAATGATCTTTGGATAATTACGCAACCAAAACAAAATCCGCCTCCTTAAAAGTTAAACTTAAAACCCATAACACCAAAACAAATATAAATATAAAAAGCCCATCCGCCTTTCTTGTCCCGACCCGACCCGACCCGACCCGCTTCCCTCACTCACTCTCTCGGTCTCTCCCCTCGCTGCTGGCCTTTTCCTCGTGTACACAGGCAGACTCTGTGTTTAGTGTTTACACTACTGGCACTTTGCATCTCTTCCGCCCTCCCTTCGCTTTCACCTTCGATCTTCTTTCTCTTACAGCAATGGCCGCTTCTAGCTGAATTCTTTTCTTCCATATTTTCTTCGCTTCTTTTCATCTTCGGGGGGATTGGGTTCCCTTTTTCTCCTCCAAAAATGATGGCGCCCGCGAAGCGGCGGTGTAGGGCGGTGGCGGTGATGAGGAAGATAATAACATGCGCTATATGTGCATTCGCCATGGTGGCCGTGCTCTCCGTACACGTCCATGTTCAAGTCTTCCCTTCCAGAGTTCCCGTCTTACCTGATCCTTACAAGCTCCCCACTACAACCACTCAGGTCCGTCGTCTACTCGTCTGTTGATTTCCCCCTCCTTTTATTTCTTGGGTTTTGCTTTTCCTGCTTCCATTAGGGTTTATTTTATTGCTTTATTTTCTTTCGTTTGCTTTTTGCTATGGACAAGCTATGTGATCCTTTTCTCTGTTTGATGGGTTTGATTCAGTATGGGCGATAGATTTCTGTAAGTTTTCAGCTTTCTTTTCTGGGTACTTTTAAAATGTTTACCGGAATTTGATTGATTTCTTAGATTCCCTCTTTCTTTCTTGTTTCTCCTCCCTATTTGCTTTAGTTTTGCATAGTAAATTCTGGCACAAGAAAGGAATGGGTAACGTTATTAAGTTAGATTTGCTTTCGCTTCTGTTATAGCAAATTTGGGCTGTTTTTTAGTCTCCCACACTCTCCATTCACTTCTCGTGTTGGTATGGCACTATGGCTGTTTCGGTTTCATCGCACTTTACTTTGGTAGTTGGCTGACAAATCAGTTCCATTGTTCTGTCCCTTTTCCCTTCATTGGGATTGTTTTAATGAATCATTTTCTTTTCCTCTATTATACAAAATGATTTTTTTTTTTTTTTTTTTTTTTTTGCAGAAGGGTATGACTGAACAGCAGCAAAGCTGGAGTAGAGAGGTTGTTCCACCCCATTCCAAGGCACCAATTGCTCCTCACCAGGTCTGATGTCTAAACCTGTAAGCTTGTTGTGTTAGACAGAAAAAGGGTAAAATATGAGGCTTTTTCCCAATCATTAACCATCCTGAGTTGGGATCGGTGTGGTTATGTTTTGGAGAACTGGTGGGTTGGAGTAACTATGATGATTATATGAGGATGATGAAGAAGTAGTAGGTGTATATGCTCATACAAAGCAGTCATGCTTCTTTCATGTTTTCACTTCCATTAGATTTGACAGTTGGAAGGTGTTAATGCTGTACCCGCTCTCAAGCTATGGAAGCCTCCGTCGTACCGTGATTATTCTCCCTGTGTGGATCCTAGTTCTAACTATACAGGCAAGCATGCGCCTTTATTTTTTGGTTGTTATTTGAGCTTGTATGTCTTTCTTCTTTATCCTTTGTGCTAATTTTTCTTCTTCTTCCGAATCCTCAGCTCCTGGAGAGTCGAGTGGTTACCTATTAGTTCATACTAATGGTGGGCTCAACCAGATGAGAGCCGGGGTGTGTATTCAATCTCTCTTTCTGCTTCTCGAAAGCTTCCTCTTTTGGAATTTGATCTCTCTATTTGATACATGAAGGCAGTTCTTGATGGTTGAGGTAGACTTAATGTGATGTTTGAATTATTGCTTTTCTGTCTAGACTGTGCTCTCGGACTGCCATTTTTGTCTCCAGATATAGGCGGCCTCTTAGAAGCCAAACTATTTGGGAATCACTAGGTCTCAAGTTTGCAGTATTATCTTATTTTGGTTACACACTTGCTTTGTTCGAATGCCACACCACTGTTGTCGTTTATATTAGTTGGTTCGTCTCAAAATTATTTCTTTTATGTTCTAATGATCATAAACACTGGTAACCTGACAGCTTTATCTAGGCTTCGCTTCCACAAAGTTCAGGGTCTTAATTTGTGCTGTCAGCTGCTATGACCCAGCAGAATCACATTGCATATTTAGCCTTTATTCTGTAGCCTTACAGGAGACTGATGGTTTTTCATCGAATTTTTGTTCACAAAAAACAAAACAAAAACAAAAACAAAAATTAATGGTAATAATAATAATTAAATTTTATTTTTGAGGGCAACCTACGATTCCTGTAGTTTCAAGTTAATCTAATGAAGGGTCATGATCTTACTGTAGATATGTGATATGGTAGCTGTTGCTCGTATCATTAATGCCACTCTTGTGGTTCCTGAGCTGGATAAAAATTCTTTTTGGCAAGACACCAGGTAACAGATTATTCTTTCAAGCCTTCGCTTGTTTTTTATTTATTTATTTTCCTTCTCTTGTGGCTTTTGGTCACTGCAACATCATAATTCCGTTTTCCATTGCAGCATCTTTTCAGATGTTTTTGACGAGGACTATTTCATCAGTTCTCTGGCTAGTGATGTAAAAATTGTGAGAAAACTTCCCAAGGACATGTCAGGCGTCACTAAAGCAGTTAAGAATTTCAGAAGCTGGTCTGGGATGGATTACTACAAAGAAGAAATCTCTAGCCTTTGGGAAGATTATAAGGTCTGTAATTTGCATCTCTTGTGTACTACTCGTCTTCTGGAGCTAGTAAAAAAGAGCAGCACTTGCAGTTACCTGATAGTTTTATCACTCAATTGTTCATAGGTTGTTCGAGCTGCTAAATCAGATTCCCGCTTAGCAAATAATAATCTTCCTCCAGATATCCAGAAGCTACGTTGCCGTGCATGTTATGAAGCTCTGCGTTTCTCACCTCAAATTGATGCCATGGGAAAAGTAGGAATATTTACTGTATCTATTTGCAATTCCTGGTGTTTTTGCTATTTGTCCACCAACTACCAATGGCATAGTTGAGAATAATAATACCTGTTTATTTATATAATGTAGTTATTGGTGGATCGAATGAGAGCTTATGGTCCTTACATTGCCTTACATTTGCGATATGAGAAAGACATGCTTGCATTCAGTGGGTGCACACATGGTTTATCTACTGCCGAAGCAGATGAACTGAAGAAGATCAGGTAAGAAGTTGCAACGCTATTGTTGCATGTTCATAAAATTATTTATTCTGTTTCTAGTTCAATGAACTGTTAAGTTTCCAACTTCTTTGCAGAGACGACACCTCATACTGGAAAATCAAAGATATTGATTCTGAGGAGCAGCGATCCAAAGGCTATTGCCCCTTAACTCCAACAGAGGTTGCTATGTTTCTTACAGCTCTTGGGTACCCGTCAAACACACCCATATATATAGCTGCTGGGGAGATCTATGGTGGTGATGCTCATATGGGTGAACTCCTGACCCGCTATCCTTTACTAATGAGCAAGGTACATACATGACTGCATAGGTGATTTGGTAAAAGTTCCCATGTCAAAATGTATAGGGTGGTCCAGATTACACAAGTTGGCTATTCTATGGCATACTTGTTGAATTTATTTTATGATCATTTTGCAGGAAAAATTGGCGTCGGTTGAAGAGCTTGAACCGTTTCTCAAACACGCCTCTCAAATGGCTGCTCTCGACTATATTGTGTCTGTGGCGAGTGCTGTCTTCATCCCAACATACTCTGGTAACATGGCAAGGGCGGTTGAAGGTCATCGTCGTTATCTAGGACATAAAAAAACTGTCACACCAGATAGGTACACAAATTTTTTATTTTCCTTCCTCTAAAATGTGGGCAGTTTTTTTTAAATTTCCAACTGGCAACAAACAGCATATATGAGTTGAAGTTGTTCCTGAATATGGTTTTTGCTTTTTCCTGAACAGGAAATTGCTTGTTCGTCTTTTTGACAAAGTTGAAAGGGGGAAATTGAGAGAAGGTAGACCTCTTGCGACGCGTGTCATCGAATTGCACAAGAAACGGTACGTATGTCCCCATTTCTATTTCGAAGTAATAATGCAAACTAGCGTAGGAGCTTGCTGTTGTGCCTAAAATTTGGATTGTGTTTACCAAAAGTTGGTTCTTTTTTCTTATGGTGGGGTTGGACAGGCAAGGATCCCCGAGGAAGAGGAAAGGACCCATCTCAGGAACTAAAGGCATGGATAGGTTACGTTCGGAAGAATCATTCTACGTGAATCCATTACCAGACTGTTTGTGTCAGAGACAATCATCATTGAGCACAGGCACCTCTTCTGCAATTAGGTAGACTGACTGACTTCTAAACCCTAGTGGACTCTTAATTTTGTTTCTCAAGACAGACAGCAGACATCCAAGTACAGCCAAGCCAAACCAGGATATCTCCCTTCAAAGTTGAAGACGAGCAGCAACCAGAGGGAGGGAGGGCAGAAGCTGGTTGTGGGTTCCCGGGGATACGTGATGTACATATTATATCTGTGAGTTGTGAAATCTGCAGAAGTTTCTTCATTGTTTAGATTTCTTTTTGGGAGTGGGGAGGAGAATTTGGAATATATAGGATTAATATCTGTTACAAGGGGAGGCAATTTTACTCTGGTAAACAAGGTCTGAAAGTTTGAGAGAGGAAGATTGGGCAGGATCACCCTCTTAGTTAGTGGAAGTATTAGTAGAAACTAGAAATCAAATTCTTTTAGTTAATGGGGAGAGAGATACTTCTATATGTTTTTGGTTTTGTTAGAAATGAAAAAAAAAAAAAAAAAAGTTCCCTTGTTGTTTTGTTGATCTCCATCCGTGCCTCAGTGAACTATTTTGGGGTTCTTTTTTATTGTCAATGGGCATAAAAGTTGGTTCCTTAATCTTCACTGAGGATCAAGAAAATGGTATTAAAACAATGTCGTACAACTTGTCTCTAAATACTATAAAGCGTTTTCTCCCAAAACTCTTCACAGCATCTTGCGGAATTTCTTTTTTTTTTTTTTTTCCTTTTTCCGCATCTGCAAACAGCAGCGGCCAATTTTTATATATTTTATTATTTTCTTTCACATGCTTTATTTTATTTGGTAAGTACGTGCTTTATTTTTTAAAAGAATCGTGTTTGTCCAATTTGCAAGTTCTCGAGAATTTTCTCATTGTATTTTGTTTGGTCGGTTAAAATTAATAATTTTGAAATTGTATCGGAGGTTATACAAAAATAAGTCAGTAATTTTCTTAAACAAAATGTTAGTAATAAGATATTTTGTATAAAAATTATGGTTTGACTGTGATTCAATTGTTGTTTTACACCCGTTTAAAATCACCAATCATTTAGAGTCTGATATTCAATATTTTCGCTCCAACCGGGTAGTGCCGTGGATTTCTAAAACATTGGTGAAAATACACTTGGTACTATTTTTTCAAGAATTCTTAGTTGAACCTTAGCTCAAATATCTCACTTTATAAATTGATCTATATTGTCTGGAAGAAGATTTTTCAGTGGGTTTAGTTCATGAATCTTCGCATACATACAATGCACCGAGACTTTATATTATCACAATTTCAACATGAGAATTTTTTGGTAAAACTTCATTGTGGGAATGAGTCATGAGATTGATGCCCAATATTTTAGATAATAGACGAACTATCATGAGATTGATGCACAATATTGAAATTTTTTATCAATAGTATTTTATAAATTTTGCCAAAATTTAATTTGTTTTATTGAAAGTTTAATGTCTTGACTTTGAAACGTGTATTTCATACGTCAATGACTAAACATTATTTAAAAATTATTCAGTGTATAATTGATAAATTGCCTGATTCATACAAGTTAATATCTCATAAAACATAAAATTATTTATGACTTAAACTTATAGTTGGCTACATGAAATATCACAAGTATATCTTGAAAAATGTACACAAAATAGTTGAAGTATGATGATAATTAATCAGTATAGATGGATAGTGGTAATTTTTTCTTTTTTGGTTGGCTGAAAGTGGATAATTTTTTTATTATAAAAAAGATAATTAAATGGGACCCAACCGGCCAACGGCCGGGCTTAAAGCTAGTTCATTACTAAGAGCATCTGCATCAATGCAATTGCAAATTGTAAAAGAAATTGCATCCGTGTTTTTTATTGTCAACTCAAATTTTTTGTAATACACATCACATTCATTTCATTCGCCTACATCAATGCAATTAACTTGCAATTGCAAATATAATTAAATATTATATTTAAATTATAGAAAATTAAGTAAAAGAGAAAAAATAATATAAAATAAAAAATTCCCATTTTTGTAGGCTTTTTTTATTTGCATATGGAATTGCATTTGTTGCAAGCTTGTAGGCTTTTTCAATTGTAATAAAGATCTAATTGGATATCTTTTCTCCTTATGCTTATTCAATTTCATCCCTAACAAACTTGAAATTGTCGAGCGACAACGACAATTTCACTAGTTTCCGAGTAATTCCCTATCTATATGTACTTTGTATCTTTAGGGTTTCTATATTTATTATTATAATTATTATTAGGGTAATTCTTATTATAGTTACTAGTCTTTTAATCATATTAGGTCTATTATTAGGATTTTCGAGTAATTCCCTATCTATATGTACTTTGTGATTCATTTGCAATCAATAAGAAGAATATTAAGAAAAGTCTTCCAAAACCTAATTCTCTAACCTCTAATTCTCGTTCTCAAACCCAATAAGGCCTAGGCCTATTCTCTATCATTCTCTTTTTCTTTCCCAAATCTCAATCTCAAACTCTAATTCTGTTCGTATAAACCCTAATCCCCAAATATAAAACCCGATAGGAATTTTGTTCCTATGATTTAGTATCAGAGCCTGGTTGGGTACATCACGAGTCACCGTTAAGGAACTGCTGGACCGGCTGGAGGCCACACTTGAAGCCAGCTGGGCAGAGAAGACGGCGCGGTTGGCGGCTCGACGGCCGCCCTTGCAGTAGTTCGGACGGGTACGTGAACCAAGACAGGGCTGAATGACGCGATTTCCGCCCCGATGGCAGAGGCCGAGGAGGAAATTTCAGCAGACGTGGGTCCCGGTGGGGAGGCAAAGGCGACGGTTCAGGAAGGCGACGTTGTCTTGCGAGTTGAGCGAGGTAAGTCTCCATCACCGTTGGAGCCGCGTCGTGAGAAAATGGAGTCGTTCATGACGATGCCGCTGGTAAGAGGATCGACGGAGCTGCTAGCAACAATATTGGAACAAACGGTGGAGGCTCCGCCATTAACCGTGCCGCTAGAGGAAGACATGCGGTTTGAGGCACCGACGAGTGCGGAGGAGATGACTGATGATGGCGCCTAATGGGAAATCAATGCAGCGGCATCAACCTAAGAGGAGGCAAGGCCGAAATTGGATTGGGTTCCTAGCCACCGGATGAAGGAATTGACGTCGATGATGATGGAGAACGGAGGTTGCGTCTCCTTCCTAAACCCTAAGGCGCGTAGGGTGGCTCAAGCAATGCTGCGGTCGGGCTCTGTGGTGCCTGGGCTGCTAGGCCTGATGGGCTCAAGGAAAAACCACTCTCTTATTCTTACTTTGTGGAGTTTGAAAAGGAGGGTGGAGGATCATTTGGCCATGGTTGCGACACGAGCCTCATGGGTAGGGAAGAAGCAATCGGAGTCGGAGTTGCTTGTGTAAGATTCGTTCGAGTGGTGGAGCACGATTGGAAGGAAAAGAAAGAGAAAGAATTGGAGGGGACAAGGTGTGGATTGCACGGGAAGCATGAAGAAATGGGTCAAGATGATCAACCTTGAGGGCAAGGTTGGTCTCGAGGGGGAGGGGATGTTAGAAATCGATTTCTTTAGGGTTTCTATATTTATTAATATGATAATTGTTATTATGGTTAGTATTCTTTTAATCGTATTAGGTTTACTATTAGGATTTTCCAGTAATTCCCTATATATATATATATATATATATACTTTGTGATTCATTCGTAATCAATAAGAAGAATATTAAGAAAAGTCTTCCGAATATTAAGAAATGCCTCCACTGGCTTGTCTCTCTTTTGGAGCTCAACCTTGGCCTCAGGCATTGGAGCTTCTGGCTTCGTCGTGCCTGGCCTAGGGTTCGGAGTAGTAGGCAAACTAGGTCTTAGTGCACTTGTGGGAGGTAGGTACCTTCTTCCAAGGTTGCTTCAATGTATTCTCAACCTTTGCAGCCATCGCCACCAAATCGTGCAACTCCACAAGTAGTAGAATCTCCACCACGTTTTTTAACTCTCGATTGAGACCTTGTTAAAATGGTGCAATGGTGGCTTCTTGATCCTCTTCTATATCTGCCCTGATCATGAGCATCTCCATCTCTTTGTAGTAGTCTTCTACGCTCTTGGTGCCTTGTCATAGAACTTGTAGGGTTTCATGCATATCTCTTCGGTGGCAGCTAGGCACAAATCGATCCCTCATGATGCCTCTCACATCTTCCCACATCTCAATAGACTCATTCTTTTCGTACAAAGTTGATCCCACCAAACCATAGCATAATCTGAGAACTCTAGAGTAGCCAATGTCACCTTCTTCTTTTCAGAATAATTATGGCAATCAAATATTAGCTCCATCTTCCTCTCCCAATCTAGTTAAGCATTAGGGTTGGTGGTGCCTTTGAACGACGAAATAGTAACTTCAATATTCTCCATCTCGTCTTCTTCATCACGTGGATAGGCATCCTCGTCTTCATACTCAACTTCCTTGTCTTCCTCATGAAATCGTTTTTGATTCCTCCTTGATGGGTGCGGCATCCCCAATGCTTAATTTCGCCTCATGTTCTCAATCAATGGAACTTCAGCAACTCAACATCCTCGGCCTCGTTCCCTTTGAACTCGTTCTTGATTAGGGTTAGGATTAGGGTTTGCTTCAGCTATGGGATGTTGAGGTGGGGGTACGATATGTTCTTGAATCCTTCATTCGAGGGCTTCAAACCTTGCTTCCATGCGCTCCAAAGAAAATGAACACCTTCTGGAACCGCAAGAAATTCTTCAAAAATGTCAATATATTTTAAGACCTTCAAGAGACGCACAAAAACCTTCAAGGCATGTCCAAGATCTTCAAGAACACATCCAAGAATCTTCCTTTTGTCGTTGTGTTTGAATCGGGCTCTAAGGCTGACCCCAATGGAGTCTGCATAAATAGGGCAATCGCCATTAATGGCGTGGTGCCACCTCCAACACGACTCCCTTGTATGATGTCATGACTTTTGATAATCTAAGTTCTAAATATAGGAGTTATATTCTTACTAGCTCTGCTATAAAAGAACCTAGAATATATAGAGAAGCTATTAAAGATCCTCGATGGGGAGAAGCTTGCAGTTCTGAATTAGCTTCCCTAGAGAAAACTCAAACTTGGACCATAGTTGAATTACCTGTTGGAAAAGTTCCTATTGGCAATATGTGGGTTTTCAAAATTAAATATCATGCAGATGGTTCAATCAATTGCTTTAAGTCTCGATTGGTTGCCAAAGGGTATACTCAAACACCCGGTTTGGATTACTTAGAACCTTTGCACCTGTAGTTAAGCATACTACGGTTAGACTTGTACTTTCATTGGCTGCCATTAACAACTGGCATTTGCATAAGCTAGATGCAAATACTGCGTGCGTTTTTACATGGTGACCTCGATGAAGAGGTTTATATGAAAATTCCACCTGGTCTTGTAGTTCCACCTGGTTTAAGAACCCAGTCTGTCGTTTAAACAAATCCTTATATGGGTTAAAGCAAACCAGTCGACAATGGAACATTAAACTGACCAATTTTCTCACTTCCGTAGGTTATAAACAGTCAAAGGCATATTACGATGTTTGTTAGGAAATTTTATTCATCTTTTACTATTGCATTAGTATATGTTGATGATATAATACTTGCATGAAATGATTTAGCTGCCATTACTGAACTCAAACAGCAGATTGATCAAGCTTTTACTATTAAAGATCTTGGTGAACTGAGGTTTTTTCTATGACTTGAAATTGCACGTTCTTCTAAAGGAATCATGTTGTACCAGAGAAAGTTTGCCTTAGATTTACTTGCTGATTTTGGATTTATTGGTGTTGAACCATCTGATTCCTCTTCTATCCCTGGTTCCAAGTTATCTACTACTTCTGGAACTTTATTACCTGATCCCTCAGTATATAAACGTCTCATTGGCATACTATTATACCTTTGTAACACGAGACCAGACGTGTCTTATGCTGTCAATCAGCTAAATCAGTTTACCCATAATCCTACTAACCATCATATGCAGGTTGCTGTACGCGTTCTGCGCTATCTCAAAAGCACTACTGGTCAAGGTCTGTTCTTCTCTTCCAAGTCTGAAATTAAATTACAATCTTTTTATGATAGTGATTGGGTCGGTTGTCCCGAAACAAGACATTCGAATACTGGTTTTTGTGTATTATTAGGACAATCTTTAATTAGTTGGCGATCTAAGAAACAAAAGACCGTCTCTCGCTCTTCAGCTGAATATAGAGCAATGCCTAGTCTGACTTGTGAGTTTCTATAGCTACGATGTATCTTGCATGATTTACATATAAACCTACTGCCCCTACTCCCATTTTCTGTGACAGTTTATCGGCAATAAGACTAGCTGATAATCCAGTAAATCATGAACATACCAAGCATATCGAAATCGACTGCCATGTTATTAGAGATACGATTCTGAATGGTGTTATTAAAGTTATGCATGTTTCTTCTAGTAATCAACTTGTTGATGTTTTCACCAAGTATCTTCCATTCCATGTTTTCCAGCATTTGCAGGTGAAGTTGGGTCGTATGGACATATACGCACCAACTTGTGGGGGGAGTTGTCCGAGGATGAAGATACGAAGACATAATTGCAAGTTATATATATTTTATAGACTGTATTGTAATATTTATTTAGCATCTGTTTGTAATGTTTACTTAGTACATGTGTTAAATATAACTCTAGTCTCTTCTATATATCCAGGGAATGTAATTGGATAATGAACGATTGATTTTGGATGAAATAAAATCTGCTTGTCCGGCTTTCACTTTACAGCTCAGCACCTGGCTAGGTTTGAGATTCAGAGAGAGATGGCCTGGGATGATATTTGGAGATGAGTTTTGCTCCTACTTCCACCAAAGAGATTTTCTCTTGATCGCTTACCACCGGGATTAGTTTTAGTCTTGAGGTTTCCTTTGGTGTGGGAATAGGGAAACTGAGAGAGAGTTGGTAGGTGGGCAACGGTTCGGTTTGGTCCAAAATAAACCAAACTCGGGAGAACTGTAGTTCAATAGTGAAAGATATTTTAGGACTGAGGAATGGATCAACAGTGCTTGCGGTTCATTTTGGTTTGGCCCAAACGTCAATTCTTGGTTTGGCCCAAACGTCAATTTCTCTTCAGTATTTATAAAATTCATGGGACCATAGACCTGAGCATATTATATTCATTTCGATGTGGTACGATAAGAGAATTGGTTTGGTCTGGTGTGGTCCAATACGGACCAACCCATTGCTAATCCTTAATCGTGAGAGGGGAAGGAGGGTAACCGGTAGATGGATTGGGGGGTTTTAATTTGGAAATTTTATTCCCTAATTAATTGGAATGAAAATTGGTTTTTAATTCCAATGAGTGAACTGGACAAGACGGAGCCGAAGATTTGGGAATATCATAAATAATAAAACGAAAACGGTCATCACTACAATCAGGCTTCAAAAAAACATTTTAATCATGCCGACATTTAGAACTATCAGAACGCAGTTGGTTCGTAATTAAACTCAACTTTGGATGCAAGAAGGGAAATACTTCGCTGCAACCTGGTTTGCAGCTTGCTCCTGCTGTCAACACAGGTGGCCTTCATCTATTGGCTGAGTTCTTATTTTTAATTATATTTTAATATCTTCAACTTTTCCATATTGAGGTACTAATTTTTTTTTGTTTCCGCTGGATTCTATTCATCGACCATTCTTCATTGTGATTGCTTCGCTGCTGATGACCTGAAATTGTTTGCCGCTGCCGCCGGGCACTTGAAATACCGATCGAATTATTCGGTCTGAATTTGAGGATTTGTAACCTCCAATCGGTTGTATGCGGAAGCCGTTGCCTACCCACTATGATGCCATTACAATGGTGGCAGAGGAGATGCTATCATAACTTCATAAGTGATTATAATGACAGATTGTCGGTCGACGGAGGTAGGCTAATAGAAAGAATGATGGCTGAGGAGATGCTATCTTAGGAGATTATATCATTGGGACAGTGTCGCCATGGAGTCTCGACAGGTCGGTGGCAAAATTAAGTAAAAGTTGCAAATAAAAAATATAATTAATAATAAGAAATCAGCCAATGGATGAAAGCCACCTGGATTGGCAGAAGGAGCACGCTGCAAACCGGGTTGCAGCTAAGTATTTCCCATGCAATAATACATAGAGGGTGGTCCCACCAACTTCTCTCCCTCTTTTCCCTACCTCTTGCCCCCTTTTTTCCCCACCTCTTAGCTCTAGCTATTGGGGAAAAAGCCAAGATAAAAAAGAGAACAATTGGCTATATGAGTCCCACAACTTTTTAATTGTTTATTTTCTAAATATGAATATTATTTTGTTGTTGTTATGCTCAAATTGATTTATTTGTCTACGTATTTGGTTTTATGTTTTCAGTCATCTAGCTTGAAAGTGGGTTATTAGTGATTTGTGTTCGTATTTGGTTTTACTTCTTTTGTTGTTCTAATGCTCAGATCGATTATTTGTATTCGTATTTGGTTTTACGTCTTCAATAAGGTCACTCATTATGCATACTTTTTATTTGGATTCGGTTTTGTATTCTTACTCATCTCTTTCTCGCTCTTCATTAAAATGATGAAAGGGGCATCGAAAACAAGGAAACCTTATGCTACGTTATTTCGTCTTTTTTTTTCATTTTAAACGCATGAACTTCGTAAATACTCTAAGTAACAGTTGTCAAGATCCAAATATGTAGATCAATATCTTCTAATTTATAACATAAAAAGCTTGGTTCTACATTTACAATTCTTAAGCGGTTGGTTCCTAATTAGACGCAACTTTGGAGGCAAGAATACATAGGGTGGGTCCCACCTGTTCTCTCCCTCTTTTCCCTACCTCTTGGTTCTACATTTACAATATCTTCTAATTTATTCTTGCTATTGGGAAAAATCAAAGAGATAAAAAGAGAACAATAAACTATGTGGTCCCACAACTTTCATTTATTTATTTTCTAAATATGTGTATTTTTTTATTGTTGTTATGCTCAATTTGATTTATTTGTGTTCTTATTTGATTTTATTTCTTTAGTCATCTCGTTCGAAAGTGGATTGTCAGTCATTTGTTTTCGTATTTGGTTTTATATTTTTTGTTGTTGTGATGCTTAAATCGATTATTTGTATTCGTGTTTCGTTGTACGTCTTCTAATATGGGTTATCAATCATTATACATACTTTTTATTTGGATTCATATTCACATTCTCACTCACTTCTTTCTCGCTCTCCATTAAAATAACAAAAGTGGCATAAAAAACAAGGAAACCAAATGTTATGTTCTTTCGTCTTTTCCCTCTCTTTTTTCTAATTTTAAACGGGTGAACTTCGTGAATATTCTAAGTGACATTTGTCGAAATCCAAATATGTAGACCAACATCCTCTAATTTATAAATTCATAGGCGAGCGAATGCATATTACTATGAACCTCTCCCTAAAAATCCAAATGATATTTCTTGCAGTTCTTAAGAGTTATGTACGAGTTACTTAGAGTATAAAACTTTCTTGTTGGAAGCGCTTTACATAAAACTCCAGCAAAGCATAGACCCTAGGAGTCAATCTCGAAGGCATGCCAGCTCATATTTCAACCCCTGTACTATTTCTCACCGCAATGACTTGTGCAGAATTTCTGCCATAAGATTGTTTCTACGGGTAGCTAACCAGTGTGGTGCTTGGCCAATATAACCTCCATCCCACCCATGAATGGCCGCAGTGGCTCTGGGATAATGACACTCCCGTCCTCTTGTTGGTTGTTTTCCAGTAAACATATCATCATACGGGGTACGGCACAAGCAGTAGCATTCAAAGTATGTACGAACTTTGTCGGAGCAAGGTTGCCTTTACCACCCTTCTTAGGGTTTGTGGATGCTGCCAGTTCTGCTGGACGGTATCGAATCCCTAGCCGGCGACTTTGGTAGTCGGTGCAATTTGATGCACTTGATATCTGCCAACAAATGTGCACAGTTAGGATCGAGGATTTTAACTTGTCAAGTTTTAACTTACAAGTTACGTTGACTAGGTCTGAGCATCAGGGTATGGTTGTTTCGGCTTTTACAGAACTCTCTTCATAAGTTCTGGCTGAGTTTTAGTTTCTGTTTCAGCTTTTGTTGAGTTATTAGCCAGAGCAAATCACGTCAAGTATAAGAAACAAGGTACAAGTCTATACCTCACCATACCGCCCTAAACCAGGCATCCATGCTTCCACATCAAATTTACGGTAAGCAGGTGCACCTAAGTCTTCAGAGGCCATATCCAAAGTTCTATTGGCACAAAACAAAAGGTCATTATTAGAGGAGCAACATGCTATATAGGGAAGACATGAAAGAAAAGAAAAAAAAACATTCGTTGGTAGAGACAGGCTTACTTATAGTGCAAACCCAGTGAAGAGAAGAGTTCTTCTTCAATCGTAATGAGCTCCTCATGGTATGTATCACTTTCGTCAGGTCGACATAGAACAAACATCTCCACTTTACTGAATTGGTGGACTCGGTAAAGACCTCTGAGACGAAGGAGGACAACACCCAAATTTAGCATGGATAAAAATCCTTGACATATAATATGCATAAAAACATAATGGTCAGTTGATCACTACAAAAGAAAATTATTGACCTTGTTGCTAGTCCAGCAGCACCGGCCTCTGTGCGGAAGCAATGGGAAAATGCAGCATACTTCAAAGGCAACACTGTTTCAGCAAGAATAGTATCCATATGAATTCCTCCCACAGGAATCTCTGCTGTGCCAATGAGGCATTGATCACTACCCTCAATCGAGTATACCTGTAAAAAGTTCACGCACTTACATTAATAACTAGTAATGGAAGTGGTATAACAAAAGCATATGGAAAACGATTAGAGGGCTGCTCTGCACTTCTTGTAGCTAACAGTAAAAATATTTTCTTCCCACAGATAAGGGGGTAATCAAAGCTAGAGAGAGAGATGGCAACTCAAACCATGATGAACAGAGCAAATAACACAAATTAACAGCTCATTGAGGGATCCTTAGCACACCAAATAACGAACCTGGGTATTATCTCCACGAGGCTGAAAGCCACACTTCTCAACAATAGACGACCTCACAATTTCTGGGGTTATCAATGGAGTAAATCCCTTTTGAATCACTTGGGAAAGTGTCCAATTGACCAGGGCCATTTCTAGCAAAACTGCTTCATTCTTCAGATAATAGAACTTTGATCCACTGACCTGTATAGCCAAATTAAAAATTAGCGACCCTATCTTACTTCAGCAGGAGGGACTCAGATCTAAATCCTGAAACTCTGCTGGGATTACTTAAATATCATCCAGCAAGTAATTAAGGCTGACAATTGGAGTCGCAGAAGCTCATATTTAGTATTGTACGATCTTGATTAATTCAAAATAACGTGAAAAATAGAATGACTTCATACTATGTACTATCTTTCAAGAAACCTTAATGATGTGCATAAATTAATACCTTAAATGTACAGAAATAGTACCTCTGCTGCGGCATCGAAATCAAATAAATCAAGCTCTTTCCCCAGTTGAAGATGGTCCTTCACAGAGAAGCTGAATTCACGTGGACTGCCAACCTAAGAGAATCACAACATATGTTTATGAGGCCACAATGAACTTAGTACCATATAACTGTTTTAACACATTCCTAGATAGACACACCACACCATACAAGAAAGAGGCCAACGGCAATAGAAGCATTTTAGTACTATACCTTTTTTCTGACAGCTGAGGAATCCTCGCCTCCAATCGGAACATCCGGATGGGTCATGTTAGGTATCGATTGAGCTTCTTGTTGAAGCTCGTCACTCAGCTTAACCAGGTCTTCTTCCAAACTAGCGAGTGCTTCCTTCAAATTCTTTCCTGAAGCAGAATGATTTAATACTGAGAGGAGGGGGGCCAAGCGATCCTGCAATTAAAGACCACCCTTACCTTTCTCTATGAACTTTTGACGTTCTGATGGCTCTAGCTTTCCCTTCATCATGTTTGCCACTGCATTCCTTTCCCCACGAAGCCTTTCAACTTCCTGCTATCTGGCAGAGGCAATTAGATAAACCTGAGAAGCTAACAAGCTTCAGTTTGACATCACATTTTTCAACACTCTGCTATAAACACAAAGAGCTCTCGAGAAAGAAACTTGAACAGAAAGCAACATGCATGCATTCCAGGTATGAGCATAACAAGTATAGAAAAACAAAGGGGGTTAAAAAGGAATGCAACTCGGTAAAGCTCTGACCTTTTGGACAGCTAACATTTTCTCGTACAGCTCGAGCACAAGCTCCAAGCTGGCCTTGGAGTTCCTCTTCCTAATGTTCTCAGCAACGGCCTCTCTGTTATCCCTTATCCACTTGAAGTCAATTGCAGCCTTCCACTGCGGCTTCGCTACTGAACATACCATCTCGAATCAAAATAAAATTCGACCAATAAGTACCCCCTGATTGTCTCCAGCGAAGAGGGGAAACGAAATCAAAAGTAGAAAATGGCTGGAGGATTTATTCACCGGTTGCAGTTCCTATGTCTTCACTGCTCGGTGGAGTTGTTTGGACAGCCGCGGCCATTGAAAGAGCTCGAGCCAGCAATGGAAAAGGAGGTGAGGGAGAATGGCTGGGAAATGAATCCAGCGCTACTAGGTTTCTGGAAATAGGGCTGAAGACGAAGCGAGAATAAGAGGCAGACGCCGGAACTGCCGCCATCTTTAGGGTTTGTATGGTCGCCCCGCCAAAATAACTGTGCAACCCCATTGCCGTGCCGTCCGTCCTCCGTCGGCTCGCTTGCTCGCTCTGCTGCTCTTCTCCGGAATTAAAATTGGAAGTTTGGAACGTCCAAAAGATTTGAAGCAGATAATTTTCTGTCTTCAAATTGAAATTCCATCTTGGGAAAAAAAAATGAATTAGCGTCTACTAATAGGCCAATACAACGGTACCGCGGTAAAAACTGCGCCGCGTGAAATATGATTGGGCCATGTGAAATTGATGTGGCATGATTGAATTTGATTGAACTAAGGTCAAAGGCTCAAAGCCCATGAATACTGAAATAAACCGCCTACCTCACACTAATGGAGAACCATTCTCCGTCCAACCCAAACAATTCTGTTTTTTTTTTTTTAATACCGTAGTTTGGTACAGGGTTTAGCATAAATGACAGTTCTGGCCTCATTTTTCAAATAAGACATTTGTGACCTACTTTTGAAATTATTGGACAAATTTGGCCCGAAACTTGTATTGACTGTTAATATTAACGATCAAACATGTATTCCGTCAATAACTCAGCATCTAGTGCTGAGGTGAGAGTGATGTGGCTTCCATGTCATTTTATTTCAATTCTTTTTTCTAGTCTTTTTCTAGTTCTTAAAAACTTAAAAAATAAAAATAATAAATTGAAATAATAAACTCATTCTCACCCGCAATAAAAATCACAATCCTAATCTTCTTCTGCCGTCGGCATCGACGACAACCACTGCCACTCCCACTCCTCTTCCTACCGACCCTCCTTCTACTTGGAACTCGTTGCCGTCTTTAATCGCCAGCCCATTTCTCATCACCGACCACGAATCCAAGGGTGATTGGAGGGCGGATTTAGCGTGTCCTCCAGATCGGTCTGAGGGAGAAGACGAACAGCCACCAGTTCGTTCGTCTGAAGAAAAGACGAACAGAACCCGAATCGGACGTGAATCCTAGGCCCTTTCTGCATCTGAGGAGTAGCTCTAGACCTAGAAGACGAAGCGGCGGCGGCGGACTCTGCATCTGCCAATTCGTATTTCAAGGCATCGTTGGTGGGGTCGAAGTCGAGCCCTTACGCAACAATAGTGTCCTGATACTAGGTCAAGCCGAGATGAGTGGAGCTGAGGCGCGAGTAGCCCTTGGACCAGTCGGGCTTGAGCTCGACGGTCTTCTTGGCGTCGGCGTACCTCTGGATGGAGGCGTATGCCGCCGATCGATTGGAATAGAGTACGTGGTTGGTGGGAGTGAGGGCGATGGCGTCGGAGAAGTGCTTGATGGCGGTGGTGTAATCGCTAGCGGAGAACACCGCGTTGCCCTTTGATTTAGCTTTGTCCGCCATCGTAGATTGCAAATTTGATTGATTGAAAGGATTAGAGAAAAGGGTTTTGCAGAATTGAACTATGATTAGCAAATACGATGTAGAAAGAAGGGTAATTATAGGAGGAGAGGAAGACGAGAAGGTTCTGGCAATGGTGGTGAAGTAAAAGGAGTGAGGGTTGAAGAAAAGTAGGAATGGCAATGGGGCAGGTCTGGGGCGGGTTTCTTGGTACCTAGACCCGCCCCGTGGCAGGTCGGGTCCAGGTCAGGTAATTGATCGCGGGTCGGGGCAGGTCGACCCAATGGGTATGCAATTTATATTAAAAACATTAGAAATATTCGTTATTATTATTATATGACTAAGAAAACAAACAATATTATGACAATTGCAGTTAAATTATTGGAGAAATTGAGGTTTTCACTAATTTACAACTTTCTTATAGCTAAAATATGATGTAATAAAAGGAAAATTCTAAGTAATTTGACTAAGATTACATGTAAATTAGACAAGAACGGGTCGAGAATGAGGTGGGTCAGGGCAGGTCGGGTCGATGAGACTACCCATGCACGCCCCGCTCCGCCTACGGAGCGGGTCGGACACGCCCCCGAAACAGGTCAAACACGTCGGGTAACACGGGTCAGGTTGAAATTGCCATCCCTAGAGAAAAGAGAGGGCTCTCTCGAAGAAGATAAGAAGTAGGGTTTTTTAGGATTTCATTTATTTAAAGTTGTTTTTATTTTAATTAATAAGTGATGTGGATACCATCTCAGCACTAGATGCTGAGTCATTGACGGAATAAATGTTTGACCGTTAATATTAACAGTCAACACAAGTTTCGGGCCAAATTTGTCTAATAGTTTCAAAAAAGTAGGCCATAAACGTCTTATTTGAAAAAGAAGGCTAGAATTGTCACTTACGCTAAACATTGGGTCAAACTAGGGTATTAACCCTTTTTTGTTTGCCAAAATGTTCTGTCTTTTATTAATTAAAAATTAAATTAGGTATTTTCAGGAGATTCCGAATATAGAAAAATAGAGGTCGATGACGGAAGGACCCAAAAGGCAGTTCCGTGATCACCTTCTCCGGCGGTCGACTCCACTGAAATCATTTATTCCGTAAAATAAAGGCAACGAATCCGGCATCTTCACCGTCACTCTGTCTCCGTCGAGCAGAGCCGCCACCATAGTACCAGACGACCCGAAGTCCACGAAGAGCAGGGTCGCATTCCCTCTATGTCGTCCCTTTTTCAATCGTCGAAACCAAGTTCCCGGACACGTAGGAAGTTACCCACCTAATCAAAATGCATACAAGTAAATGGAGGACTATATATTTGTGGATGTAGGGCATTTTTTGGAGTCGTTTTAAGTCCTTGTGGCTTCTGGATTTGTATGTCATGGATTTTATAATGGGAGGCTCGCTTGTTCCGTGTTCTCTCTTATTTCTGGTTTTATCGCAGCAGGGGACTTGATGTTCTGTTCCTGTTATTGTCTCTGTTAGAAATCGAACAAAAAATTTAGGTTTACCGATCTGGCTGAGTTGCGGACTAGGTCGCTTTCTTTAATACGTTCGTGGCACTGCCTCGTTATTCTCACAGCAGACTATCAACCGGTCGCCTCTAGGATAAAACAGCCACTCTTTTGATTTGCTCATCGGTTTTGTGCGAAATACCGGAGCTCTCTGAATCGCACTCTCTCGTGTTTCTGATCTCTGTGGTATATTTAGAAGGTCTCGGGGTCTGCTATTTATAGGAGCAGGAAACCTAGAATATTCCATCTTTCTTTGGGAATAAGCCACATTTTAATTAGGAAGATAATTACTTCTATAATTAAAATATATTATATTAAGTTTATTAATACTAATTATCTCTATAATATTCTTTTTATTAATTATCCTTCTATTTCTGTATCTAGAAAGAATACTGGATAATTAATTCAATATAGCTTTCAAAGCTATTCATTCCCAACAATCCCTCACTTGAATAGTTTTGAAACTATCTCTGAGCATCAATAGATCCATAAGATCGGGAATAAGCTAAGGTATTGCGAAGATTTGAACCTTAGCATAGTGGTTACACTTCCGATTTCATAAGGGTGACTCGTAGTCTTGAACCCTATCTTAGCACACCAGATCTATTCATTGAGTGATATTCTCTCATAGGCCGTGCGTTTATGGCCATGCACGTTATCCCCGTTTAGTGAACGCTCTAGCAACTTTGTCCCTCCAAAGTTCCATAGAGAGCGGCCCCACTCCCACATTCACATAGGTGAGTCTATCAGAAGTACCCCCAAAGTAAAGTACTTCACTCCACATAGAGTATAGATCTCATTAAGAGTTCAACTCAACCTCCAATGCTTTGGGATTCATGCTTCACCATGCACGAACTTTTCTCAATATTACTCATGACTTGTTATTACCCATTGAACCCGTCTCTTGGGATCTCCAGTCTATTGAGTCAGGTTACCATCACTTGTAATCCATGGTTCGGTAGGCATAAGTCTCATACCCTTCGTGGTATTTTGGACTTTCTGTCTAGCTAGTCCTTTCGTCAAAGGACCAACTAGATTCTTTTATAATCTCAAGTTCATCCTTTCGCCAAAGAATAAACTAGATTCTCTTTTAAGTATTGTTCTTATGCTCCATCCTTACTGCTCCAACAGTTAGGGACTCTCTCTTCCAGTATTGTTCTTATGACGAACTTGTCGCCTCTCACCATTTGTTACGATTCTATTTAGCAATTGCTATCGCAATGGATCAATACCGGCGGATACGGTCTTTCCCATAAGGGAATCTCTAGTAATGACCTCTCAATCAACTTTCTTCTTTACTAGCCATTGCTAGTTCTATCATTTCTGATTCCATAGTTGATTGAGCCAAGTTCGTTTACTTCTTTTCTTAGACTTCCAAGACAGAACTTCTCTATCGATGTTTAAAATATAGCTTCTGGTTATCTTGGAGCCTCTATAGGGTATTCTCGTCCGCATCAATATACCCTACAAATACAGCAAGAAACCATTGATAACATATATCAAGGTCTACTGTTCTCTTAAGGCATCTCATGACCCCTTTCAATAGCATTTCAATGCTTCATACTAGGACAATCAGTAAACCTGCCAATTACCCCCACTATGTCGGGTCTCATGTTTATCAGATGCCTCTTGCAGACTATCGATGCTAGTATGTTCTTACTTTCTTACACCGTCTTTGGTGCTCTATTTAAAAATTGTAATAGCATCTTCAAACATTTAGGCAAGTGTACAACTTGTATTTCTTATAGATCTTAACCAAACAGTTAGACTGATCTATAAAAAATTTCTTTCACTGTACTAGTTATTTGGATCTCTAAGTGAAACACTTGGATCCTTCTCATCAAGGTTCTTACTCAACATGGTTTTTCACATTTATTCATGTCATGAGTCTTTGCAACAAATATCTACATGTCTTTTATAGTGCAAGTATCGTTCTCAAGTTAGTAACAAATGCACTTGCCACTTTCATTCAAAAACCATGAGAGAGAAACATCCATCCATGCAATGATCTTTAAAGTCTGTTCCAAATCATACCATGATTTGTCTCACCATAGACTTTAAAAGCATTTTCAAGAATAACAACCTTTTAGGTTGTCCCAATGTCGATTTCTTTATCTAAATCACTATTCACAAAATAAAATTTTAACATCCATCTAATGCATCACTAGCAATCAGACCATACATGGATGTTATTCAGATTTGGTGAATATATATCAAGAAAATCTATTTTTTTCCCCGCCTAAAGTCTTAACTAGTAGGCGATCCTTATACTCATAAACTAAACCATTACGTTTCAGTTTTCTTTTTAGAATCCATTTATTACTTAGGCTTCATTGCCAGGAGGTAATTCTCAAAGATGCCAAATCTTGTTCGATTTCATCGATATATTACCTAAGGCTTTACAACCAAAAGGTAACTCTACAAGTTTCTAAGTCTTATTAGACTCTCATGATTCCATTTTATTAATAATGGCTTTTTCCTACAAATCTGCACCTTACAGAAGTTTGACTTCTAGCAGACTTGTAAGATCTTTCTTAGGGTGTAAATGACTAACTCATAACCAAAATCCTTTATCGATTTATGGTTCGTTTGCTTCTTCTGAGTTCATAGTCAGATTCAATACCCCCACTAGTTCCATTATTTCTAATAGTAGGTAGGATACAACCCCCACTATCTCTTTATTTTAAATGGAAGTCTATCGGCGTCCATGGATTCCAAACATAATTAGTATTTCATTTCATAAGCTTGTGTGTTTTAAGATATCATATCCAATTAAAACACGCTCATATGCTCTTCTAGTAATCATATTGCTCTAATTCTCTAATTATACCACAAGCATTTCAAGAGCATCACATCAAACCATTAATTAGAGCAATCGATAAAGCATTTCTTTTTCATCCAAGTTACCATCTTAACACGTTTACCCGTATCAAAATAAAATCTAAAATTTCTGATTCTCTAATCACGTGTCCATGGGTTATTTAACTTGGATATACAAAATTCATAGTTTTCTCAAGCATCCAATAATAATATGGGAATGTGATATAAGATATTCTAATTCTTCACACAGACACACTTGGAAGAATTTATCTTATCTACTTAACCATTCCTTACATCTAGGATAGTCAGTGACTTTCTAGAGGTAGGGTTCTCTTCCACTTTCCCAGAACCATCAACAATAGTGGTGAGGGTCTTGCCCAACAACACTTTCTCCTTCAATACGCCTCAATGCATGATTGAGCTTAACTACTTTATTAGATGCATGCCTTGAGGCTTCTATATCCAACCACCATTCTTCATAATTTCCATTAAGTCCTATCACCCCATTAGTGATTATTACCACCAAATCCTCTTATTTAGTCAAGTTAACACTAGGTTAAACTTGTTCTTACACTTTCGCGTTTTATGACCTAGTTTCTCACAAATTTAACAGAGAAACATAGCGACATTCTTAGAGGATTGAGTGGCAATCTTATGGTTACCACAAAGGGTACCATTCTATTTGGTATGGATCTGGTTCGGCTTGCTGCTCTCATTCTTGAAACTTTGATGTTTCAGAGCAGCCTAAGTGGTTCGTGTAGTATTGATAATAGTACTTCTTACAATATCGTTATTGTGGGCAATAAACCTATTCTATTCCCATATATTCTTCAATGCACACATTTAGACAAAATCATTATTTCCATAGCATGTGTTCAATTTATGCTCTAATCATCGAGATACGTAATATATCTCAATGTCAACTTATCATGCATCAAT